TCGCCCTGCGTCGCCTGTCCGTGCTGTTCGCACTAGTGGTCGTGGTTCGCGTCAGCGTCCTCCTCCTGTCCCTGGCACGCACCGGATGTCTCTGCGTCCGTCCACTGCTCCTCTGCGTGCCCCTTTACCTTCTCCTCCTGAGTCCTCTCTTCCTGCTCTTCCTGACCCGGAGTCGGACTCTCTTCGTGCTGCCAGTCCTACTGTCACGCGTCTCCTTGCTACTGTTGTCACTGACCCTTCCTTTGAGTCCACTGCTGCGTCTGCCCTAGTTACAGAGCTCGTCGACTTTGCTGCTCGCTGTCGCCTAGACTACGCTGCTAGTCTTGTTGCTGAGTCTGAGTCTGTCTGTCCTCCGTCCGTCGGGGGTGAGTGTGCCCTTGGCACGGACGTCCTTGAGGACAGGCAGGAGGAGTTCCAGTGTTTGGCTGCTGCTTCACCTCATCTCGTGTCCGTACTGCTTACCCCTGAGGGAGACCCGGATGCACTTGACATCCCGACTCCGCGCTCTTACGCGGAGGCGATAGAGGGTCCCTACTCCTCTCAGTGGCAGACAGCTATGGACACAGAGATGGCTTCCTGGAAGTCCACAGGCACCTACGTTAACGAGGTTCCCCCGCCTGGGGCGAACATCGTCAGTGGCATGTGGATTTTCAGGGTGAAGCGGCCGCCGGGTTCTCCGCCTGTCTTCAAGGCGCGTTACGTGGCTCGTGGCTTCAGTCAGCGGCAGGGAGTTGACTACTTTCAGACCTTCTCTCCCACCCCGAAGATGACCACTCTTCGGGTACTGCTGCACATAGCTGCTCACCGCGACTACGAGCTGCACTCTCTTGACTTCAGCACTGCTTTCTTGCAGGGCAGCCTGCACGAGGAGATCTGGCTGCGTCGCCCACCTGGCTTCACTGGGTCTTTTCCTCCTGGCACCCAGTGGAGCCTCCGGCGGCCAGTCTACGGTCTCCGCCAGGCACCGCGTGAGTGGCACGACACACTGAGGACTACACTTGCGGCTCTTGGGTTTGCTCCCTCTACTGCCGACCCGTCGCTGTTTCTGCGCACCGACACTTCTTTGCCGCCGTTCTACATCCTCGTGTACGTCGACGACTTGGTCTTCGCCACAGCTGACACTGCTGGACTCGCCCACGTGAAGTCCGAGCTGCAGAAGAGACACACGTGCACAGACCTGGGTGAACTGCGCAGCTACCTTGGCTTGCAGATCACCCGGGACAGAGCACGCCGCACCATTACCCTGACTCAGTCACACATGGTGCAGCAGGTCCTTCAGCGCTTCGGCTTCACGTACTCCTCGCCTCAGGCCACTCCTCTGCCTACTCGCCACTCACTCTCAGCTCTGCCTTCGGATGAGTCCGTAGAGTCGAGTGGCCCGTACCCAGAGCTTGTTGGCTGCCTCATGTACCTGATGACCTGCACACGACCTGACCTTGCATACCCTCTTAGCATTCTTGCACGCTATGTTGCTCCTGGGAGACACAGACCGGAGCACATGGCTGCAGCGAAGAGGGTGTTGCGCTACTTGTGAAGTACGTCGGGCATGGGGCTTGTGCTTGGAGGGCAGAGTCCAGTGGTCCTCACCGGGCACGCAGACGCCTCTTGGGCTGACGACCAGGCTACGCAGCGGTCGTCACAGGGTTACACCTTCAGCCTTGGTTCCGGCTCTGTTTCGTGGCGGGCTACCCGCTCGTCTTCTGTTCTCGGCTCCAGTTGTGAGGCTGAGATCTACGCCGGGGCCATGGCTGCACAGGAGCTTCGCTGGCTCACCTACCTGCTGACTGACCTCGGAGAGCCGCCTCGTTCTCCTCCAGTGCTGTACGTAGACAACAAGGCCATGTTGGCCTTGTGTCGAGAGCAGAGACTGGAGCACAGAACGAAGCACATTGCTCTCCGCTACTTCCTTGCTCGTGAGCTACAGCAGCGTGGTCAGCTGCGGCTTGCGTACGTGGCCTCTCAGGCCAACACTGCTGATATCTTCACCAAGGCACTTGCGCCTTGTGATCATCAGCGCTTCTGTACTCAGCTGGGCCTTGTGCCTACCTTGCCTCACTTGCTCACCCCTTGACCTTGTTTGTACTGTTGCATATATATATACACCTGCTCTTGCTTGTCTAGCCTTATATGTATATGTAATCCTGCATGTGAACTGGCCTTGTGGCCTTGAACTTGTGCTCGGAATGTGTGGTGACTTTGTGATCCACCCTGAGCTTGCTTTGTTTTGCTTGACTGGTCTTGTGACCCCTTGTTCTCCCCCACTCTGCCTATGGGGGTGTGTCAGATTTATATGACATAGCTACTGTAGGCTATAGTGGGGTAGCACATATGGGGTACAGTTTTCTAGGGTTTGCCTTTTGTACCCAACTTTCACTTAGTCATTTCATTCCTGTTTTCTTGTTTCACAGTCCGGTCTGTGGTCGACATTCTCGGGCGCCTTGTGGTCCATACGCGTTTCAAGGAGCTGCAAGAGGTCATTTGCGAGACACATTTGGAGATGCAGGGCATCAAGGACGTGAGGTGGCTTTCCCGAGGCAATGCGATCCAGCGACTCGTCGCAGTGTTTCCTGCGGTTGTGATCGTCTTGCAGGAATTCGACAAAAAGATGTACGCGACAGTGACTAGTTTCAAATTCCATTTCTTACTCTACTTGCTTGCCGATGTGTTGAAGGAGCTGAACCTGCTCAACTTGAAGTTCCAGCAACGACAGGTACGCGTTAATGTTTACGCTTGCAACCGCCTTCGTAAACCATAGTCACAATCTAACCATTTCTGCTTCATGCTTTTGCAGATTGACGCCACCCATGTGCTGCAGACGGTACACAACACAACACTCCTGCTGCGGACTCGTTACCTCGACAGCAACGACGAGACGTTCGGGCAAAGCGGAGCTGCGCTGGGTCCATTCTTGGCGAAACATGCCTCAGGGAAGTGTCGGGAGGTCAAGGTTGATGGCCTAGATTCCACCGGAGTGCCAACAACTCACCGCTACCTGCTGCACGAAGAGGCTATCGTGGGGCAGCAGAGCAAAGGCGACCTCAACTCCTGTTTGAAGCTCGGGCGGGACTTCGTTGTTGAGCTGATTAAGCAGCTCGACTACCGACTGCATGATCTCGCGTCGCTCAATGGCGCGAAGCTCTTCAAGAAGTCCCAATACCCCAAGTCACAGGCTAAGCGCGAGCGACGGTTGGCGCAGTGGTTGCAGTCGCTGCGCGACATGTACAAGAAGCATCCCGAGGATCCGGGCACTCTGCCAGGTGTGTTAGGCGTATTGTCGTGAGATCTCGGGCTTAATCGTTTTGAAGCCGCGTCGCGTTACATTTGTATTCATGCGGCCGCATCTTTGTCTTCCTCTATTCACCCGCCCATTCGTACAGGTGTGGACTGGGCCAAAGCACAGAGGGAGCTCAACACCTTCGCGACAATCATGAGCACCCACCAGGAGGATGTCGGCTTCACGGAGGGCCTGAAGCACATGCTCTCCTCACCAGATTGGACAACGAGCTACCCCAACATTGTCCGCCTGTGGATCGCTGTAGCCGTGCTCCCGCTGAGCACTGTGGAGTGCGAGCGCGGGTTCTCGCGGCAAAACGTGATCAAGAGCTGGCTGAGGGGGAACCTGTGCGACGCCAAGCTTGGTGAGCTCATGACCGTGTCTCTTCTGAGCTACAACATGGAGTGGCCCGAGTTGGTGGCTCGGTGGCGCAAATCCAAGAAGAGGAGGCCTGCAAAGGATGTGTTGCTGGCGGGAGTGGAGAGGGAGAGCAAGCGCAATAGAAGAAGATCCGCAGCAGCAGCAGAGGCCCACGCAGCAGCAGCAGCAGCTGCTGTGGCTGCGGCAGAGGCAGCAGCACGCGAAGCGGCAGCAGTAGCAGAAGCAGCCAGGCTGGATGCAGAGTTCCCCTGGCTCAGTCGCAAGGGGAATGCTAACTATCCTATTCCAGTGCCGTCTGATAGCCTAGACAGCTGTAGTGATGCTGATGATAGTGGTAGCGAGTCTGACTGATACGTAGAATGGTGAAATGATACTTAGTTTTCACATTGTATGTTGTAGAATTGATGTAGTTAGTGTAGACCACGTAGAATTGTTCATCTGTCTAATCAGACTTGTGATATTGTTTCGTCCTAGAGGTCAGACGAAAAAAAAGCGCCAATCTGAGCGTAAGACGATTTTTTTTTTTTTAACCCATCCTGTCAGACAGGCCTGAATCCTAGCGAGAGCCCTGATGTACAGTCATTTGTGTCACCCAAACAAATGCGCACAACTGTACATCTCGCCTGGTCGCCTAGAGTCGCGATACATTGGTTGTTTGTGACACAACATTTGGTAAATTTACAGGCGCGACTCGGGAAATCGGGGATTGAGACACAAGTGTCCCCGCAGGAATACACCCTAAGTATTTGCATCTGATACAATCACTAGGTACAGCAGAGATGATAGCAGTGCTTGTGGCTTTGTATTGTACTGTCAAAACATATAATCAGTGTCACGACTCACATCACATCACATCCCATTACATCACATCATGTGCACGCGCATCGCTCAGTCGGAGAATGTTCGTTTGATGGCCACTCGAGCGAGAAGCTCACTGCGACTCCGCAGGAATAGAGCTGGTGGTGGTGCGGTGTGGTGCGGTGACAATCAAACACACAGGAGAGGACAGGTGAATGAGGGGAGAGTGTCTAACAGGCTGTTCAAAGGCACCCAGCAATTACCTGGTCTCAGGCTACCACACACCTTGTTGCAAAGTTTAATCTACCAGTAAGTTGATACAGGATGCTTTGACCCGAGCATTGGTGCATAGCTGCTGGTGAGTCGGTTCTATCGAACATGGGAGAGCATGAAGAGTTTCTTTTAATCCTCGAATGGGAGACACCCTGCCCCACCAAGGGTTCTCCCACTCTCCCTATTCCACACACACGCGCGCAAACAAGCACGCACACAGCCATATAATTACAATAATAACACCAAGTCACCCACTCACACCCTGCCATGTCACTCACCCGCCCCACGCACCTGTGAGGATGCCAATGCGTTGAGTGATACTCCTCGCTTCCAGAAGTTGCTGCCGCCCCTCACTCCTCTCCACGCCACCCTGCACAGCAGCAGCAGCCGCAAATGACAGCTGCTGCACCCGCCGCACCAGCAGCAACGGCTCCTCTCTGCGCATCGCCCCCACCTCCTTTGCTCCTTCATGCCCCCCCTTACCATGCCCTTTCTCCTGCCTCGCAACCTCCTCTTGCCTTCTGCCCTCTTGGTGTAAACCTCCTGGTGTTTCTGGTGTTTCTTTCTTGCCTTGTGCCTTGCTGCTTCCTTGCGTGCCCTGTGCTGGATCTTTTGATTGCCGCTCCTCCTCTCCCCCCTCTCTCCCCTCGCCCCCCTCATTCCTGCAACCCTCTCCCACCTCCTCCTCCCCCTGCTGCTCCCCCTTCCCCTTTTCCCCCTCCGCCTCTCCCCCACCCTCTGCTTTCCCCCCCTCTTTTCCCCATGCGCGCCCATCCAGTGCCATTAGCTGTGCCTGTGCCCCTTCCAGCATGCTTCCGCCCAAAAAAGAGGGGTTTATATGGTGTGAGCGGGGGGGCAGTAGAGGGAGCAGTGCCGGGGGGAGCGGGGGGAAGGAGCCATCCATTCGTAGGCGAGAGGAGAGGTCTCTTGTCTGGTGGGGGGGCAGGAAGGGGAGGAATGGGGAGAGAAAAGGGGGAAAGTAGGGGAAGAGAAAGGGGAGAGAAGGACGGGTGTTGTGCGGTTGTGTGAGGTAGCTAGCCTAGCACACAGCACAGCAAGCGACACAAAAGCGGCACCACACTAAACCACACCAAACCCCACCGCACCGCATCGCATCGCACCAAACCATACCTCATTGCACTGCTCCGCACCGCACCTGCTGCAGAAGAGCCCAGAGGCGAGCCTCTCCCCGCTGCAAGCGCAGGGAGAGTCGCTGCAGAGCACGCCTGTTGATGCTGTTGGGTGGGCCCCTGTGCAACACCCTCCCCATACCATCCACACTCCCTGCCATGCCAGCGGCACCACCATCCCTTTCCCCTCCCTCTCCCCTTCCCACTCCCTCTCCCTCCTCTCCTTCCTGCTCTCCCATCTCCTCTCCTCTCCCCTCCTCCTCCTCCCCCTCGTCCTCCTCGGTCCACTCCAGGCCTCCAATGAAGGCGTTTAGCAGCAGCGCCTCTTGGTCCTGCTGCTCCTGCACCAGTGCTTGGCAGTATGGAATTGTCTGCAAAAATGGCGAAGAGGGGACGGGAAGGAGGGATTTAGAGTCACCTCAGAAACCTGTTCCTCCTGCACCTGCGCTTGGCAGTACGGAATGGTCTGCAGGGGAAGCCAAGAGGGCAGAGGCGCAAGGAGGCCTATGAGAGAGGCTGGGCTGAGGCGTACCAGCCAGTGGAACGACAGGAAAGAGTAGAGGAGGAAGTGGAAGGAGAAGCGGGGTGATGGAGAGAGAGGGGGGGATGGGGGGATGAGGCGGTTGAGGGGTCGAGGGGTTGAAGGGTCGAGGGGTCGAGGGGTCGAGGGGTTAGGGGGTTCATCTGCAGGCGGTTACTCAGATGCCTCAAACACAGCGAAGCTGGTTGGAATGTTGAGGTGGGTGCGTGGTAGGTCAAGGGAGGGGAGGGGACGGAGGGGGGGTGGTGGATGGTGGGACACTGGTAGGTACCTGCAACAGGTGGTTGACTCGCACAGTGGTGATGGCAGTGCTGTCGATGAGCATACGCCCATCAGAGAAGCGCTTCACCTGTGGGGGTGGGGGTGGGGGTGGGGGTGGGGGTGGGGGTGGGGGAGGAATTTTTAGTCGACGCAAAGAAGTGGGGATGACGTTGAGGTTGGGGTTGGGTGGATGCACAACGGCAGAGGTTTGAAGGGCGTCGAAATAGCCCCTCCCACCCTAATTTCCCTTGTCCCGCATGCACCCCCCCCTCTTCACCTTATCCACGTGCATGAGGGTGCCAATGCAGCCTGTGAGAGCGTCTGTCAGTGATGTTCTCCGTTCTCTGCCCCTCCTCTTCCTTGCTCCGCTCACCCCTCCCTGCTCATTCGCCATCTCCCTCCCGCTGCTGCTGCCGCCGCCGCCGCCGCCGCCACTGCTACTACTGCTCTCGCCGCTGCTCCCACTGCCACTCCCGCTGCTTCCTCCACGGCTGCTCTTGCTGCTGCTGCTGCGGGAGAGCGGCAGCACGGGTGGCGGGCGGCGGAGAGTGGTGGGCAGGAGAAGATGCACGTAAAGGTGTGGTGGTGGGCCAGCTAGGAGCTTCTCAAACACTGCGGGTGAGGGACGTGGGAAGAGGGGAGATGGTGGAGTGGGGTTGTTGGAGGAGGAGAAAGAAGGACTCGTGTGGTCTAAGAAGGGTGGATGGAGGGTTAGGTGGATGGGGCGGTGTGTGAGATGGTGGGTAGAACGGTGGGTGGAATGGTGGGTGGGAGGGGCGCATTACTGAGGACATCGTGGGGCATGAAGACACCGGGGAAACCAGAGGTTCCTGGGGGGACGAGCAGGAGCGAATCACAATTGAGAACCCAAAAACGCTCAAAAGTTACTGAGGACATAGTGGGGCATGAAGACTCCGGGGGGAATCATGAGTCAAAGGGAGGGGCGCGTTACTAAAGACTTAGTTAGAGCCCCCCGGCAGCACAGCCCAGGAATCATTACTGATGGTGACTTGAGACTCTTGACAACTCGAGAACTTCCAAACAGAAAGGCAGAGGCGGATTATTACTGAGGACGTAGTGGGGCATGAAGATGTGGAGGGAGTCAGAGGCGCCTGGCAGCACAGCCCACTGCACACAGAACACCGGGAACTCCATTGCACCGCCATGGCCGCTGCTGTCCCCACTCGCCGCATCCCCTCCTCCCATTCTCCGCTCCCCCGCCTCTTTCCCCCCTGCAGCGTCTTCCCCTGCAGCCTCCCCTGCTGCTGCAGCAGCTACCGTCCGTGACTCTCTAGTCCGCCTCCTCGTGTCGCCCCTTCCGCCATTGCCGATTCTCCTATCAGTGCTTACTCTGCCTATTCGTCCGTCTCTGATTGATCTACAGCCACTGGTTACCCCTGTGCTGATCCTTGTCCTGCCGCCTATGCTTATCCCCCTGCTAGTGCTTAGCTGCGCGCGACGGTGGTACGCGGAAGCTAATTGGACTGCGGACGGGAAGGCGGTGGGGCGGGCAGCCTGGCGGAGAGGGTAAAAGGTGGGAATGGGGGAATGCGGGGGGAAAGATGGGGGAAAGGGCGCGCAGGGGGTGGTTGGGAGGGAGGGAAGTGCGGGAGAGCGGAGGGAAGGTGAGCGGAGGCAAGTAATCGCCAATGGTTCGAGAATGCGATTGGACTCTGCGGACTATGCGAAGTTGAAATGGTGCGATGATTGTGCATTCCTGCGACGGTGCGAACACCCACCATTACTCCCATTTGCTCCGCGCATGGCACGCGACAATCGCGCTACCACGAGAGGAAACGTGTCGAACAATTGAGAGCTGGTTGCAGGCCAAGCTCGCAGATATGATAGTAGGTCAAGCAAGGAAAGGTGGTGTTACTCAGCCCGAACGAAAGGAATCTGCCGTTCGCGAAGAAAGAGAGTACTGGTAATATCAAGGTGCTTGTGACGCGAAATTTGAATGTGTGGTTCAGTGTACTGTACCTGCAAGGCTGGGCATGATACGTGGCAACATCAAGGTGGTTATGATGAGTGAGACGAGATCGAGTCGAGACCACACAACTCTGTATTTTGATTGGTTGGGCATCAACAGTTTGCACCCCATATGTATGAACTTTAGAAATTCACTGAAATGTTTGTTTCATGGGATTATCGAAGCATCGTGTATGCGCTTCACCATCCTGCTGCTGTCCCATGATCCCATCCCACCCATGCCCCAGCCACCAGCACCACTGTTGCTGATCGTCTGTCACTAATCTGGAAATAAAAGCTCCACCCACCAACCTAAAAGCCCATTTTCTCACTGCTTATCATCTCAGCCCTTATATGTTTCGTGCCTTTATCCGCGAGACGGGCTTCCTTTCCATTTCAAGTGAAGGAGTAGGATTAATTGGCTCCTTGAATTTCCGCCTCGAGTAGTGCTCATCATTCTCGCAATTCGTGCGAAACCATTAGGTGGCTTCTTAGGTTTGAGGGATCTTACAGACCTGTTGCCTGAAATTCGACTAAGGAGGAGCTCCCATTGTCCAGCGTCCGACAGACCATGAGGAGAGAACGAAGAAGACGGGATTTCTATCCCGTGATTTGGAATCTCAAACGCCTAGTTTCACTCCCTGCATTTAGAGCCTAGTCAGTCTGACGTCCCACCCGCGACATTGTCAGCGCATCGTGCTCACGTCGCGCGGGAATCGTGCACGCATTGTGCACTCGCCTTCTCGCGGCTCCGGCTTAGCCATACTTGCTTGTTTCCCTCTCCTTTCGCGCGCGTTTTGGCGCGCTTCTAGCTCTCCGTTCCCTCATACAATATGGCTCTCCCCGATGCAGCTGCGAAACCCACAGCTTCCGCCGCCGCCGCTTCCGCGGCAACGTTGACAGCCCAAGCGGCCGCAAAAGCCGCGTCGAAAGCGTCCGCAACCGCGAAAGCTGCTGCCAGTACCGCTGCTGCTGCCACAGATACCGCCACGAATTTCGTTCGCCAGAGATTGCGTGCGACTTATGTCTGGTTACTCGCCGTTTTCGCCGCGATCTACCATCATCCGCACGTGAAGAAGCTACTCAAAGCCGATTGGTCCGTCATCCGTGACGTCATCACGTCCTGCACCGCGTCATCCTCCCCCAGCGCCAGCAGCACCGACCGCGCGTCCTCGTCCTCCTCCGCCTCCGCCGCTTCCGCGCTCCCCCCCTTCCCCCCGTTTCCCCCCGCGCTCCGCGCGTCTCTGCGCGCCGCCTCCTCCTTCCTCGCTCCCGCGTTCGGCGCGACGGTGAAAGCCGTTTTGCTCCTGGCCGTGACTCTCGTTCTCGCGCCGCTCATTAGCTCGCTCCTCGCTGTCACGCTCGTGCCGCAGGCCGAGGCGCCGCATCCGACGGCGTGTCGCGTGGTGGATTATTTGGAAAAGCCGGAGGCCGAGTCGCGGTTACACAGCCTGCCGGTGCTGTATTTTATAGCGGGGTTGGAGACAGCGGGACAGGGCGTGTTCTACACGCTGTTCAGGTGAGATGGGGTGGAATGCGGTGATGTGGTGGGATGGTGTGGAATGCGGTGAGACGCCAGGATGGGTTTGAATGCACTGTTCTGGTGGGAAGGGGTTGGGTGCTAGTGAAGCAGCAGAAGCAGCAGCAGGCGGGGGAGATGACCAAGGTGCCCTCTGATTCAACCCAAAAAAAAAAATCCCCCACTTGGCCCCCTCCCTTCCTCTACCCTTCCCCTCGCTCCGACTACCCCCTCCCCCTCCCCTTTCCCTCACCCGCAGCGAGCTACACGCAGGGCTGCAGCAGCAGCATCCCCATCACCATCAGCAGTAGAGCGCGGGCGAGATGGCGGAACCAGAGTTCGAGTGGAACCAGACAGAGCTGCTGCTCACGCGCAGTGCGGCTCAGATCGTGGACATGTCGCTGCCCGGGTGAAGCAGCAGCAGCAGCTCGTGGGGCAAAGTCACATCTAAAAAAAATCCTCCTTTCCCCCTATCCTTCCCCTCGCCCCCACTTCCCCCGCCCCTTCCCCTCACCTACAGCGAGCTACATGAAGGGCTGCAGCAGCAGCGGCAGCAGCAGAGCGCGGCAGTGATGGCCGAGCCAGAGTCCGAGTGGAACCAAACAGAGCTGCTGCTGACGCGCAGCCAGGCGCAGATCGTGGACATGTCGCTGCCCGGGCGCAAGATCTACACGGAGTGCCCGAGGATAGAGTACTCGCGGCAGGCGTCCGACCTCGCTGCTCTCATCTCCTCCAAGCTCGCTCCGCTGCAGGTGGGTGGGTGGGAGTGAGGGGGCGCGGGGGTGGATGGGCGAGTTTTTAGGTCGACTCGCAAGTAACCTTATTGCGCTTATCTCCTCCAAGATTGCCCCGCTGCAGGTGGGTGTGATGGAATGAGGTGGGTGTGGATCGGTGGGTGGGAAGGAGGTGGGTGGGATGTAAGGAGAAGAGGGGATGGGGGGGAGTGGTTGCTAAGAGGAGGATCAAATCGGAGGCAGAGCAGTTTGAGGAGTGGAGCAAGAGCGTCGGATGTGGAACGCAAGGAGCTACTGTTGAGAGTTTATTGGAAGGCTGTTGTCAGATATGTCCAGCACGCTAGCTTACCTCTCATGCTTCCCACCCCTGCTCTCACCTCTCTCAATCAGTCACTATCATTCTCCTCTCCTTCAATGCCTGCCCCTCCTCCGCCTGCCCCTTTCCGCATCTCCACTCCCTTCTCAACCTGTTCACTCTCCCACCCTCCCTTCTCACACCCTCCACTCCCCCCCACCACCTTCCACTCCCCTTCACCCCACCAGGTGCAGCCATCAGCAGGGCTGAGGCAGCGGCAGGGCAGGCGCACGCCAGTGCTGCTGCTAGCCAATTCCTCCTTCCCCATGGGTGCCTCCCTGCGCACGCCTCTCGCCCGCCCTGACCTCGTCTCCCTCGGCCTCTACCACGGCCTGCTCTACCGCCTCAAGGTGGGCCCTGCTTCGCTGCTTGCCTGCTTTCCTGCTTGCCTGCTGCCTGCTGCCTGCTTCGCTGCTTGCCTGCTGCCTGCTGCCTGCTGCCTGCTGCCTGCTGCCTGCTGCCTGCTTCGCTGCTTGCCTGCTGCCTGCTGCCTGCTGCCTGCTGCATTCCTCAACCGCTGGTGTCTTTTGTCTTCCACCACGCGCCCACCCCAACCTACGGGCAATCGTGAGTGTGACGAACCTTCCTGACGGCATGGCATCGCCTTCACTCCCGTGCTTGCCTGCCCACCTCACCCCCACTTGCTCCTCTCCTCTCCATCCGTGCGGTGATCGTGATATTGACTGTGTGTGAAGAGCCTGTTTTTGAGGCGACTCGTCTTGACTCGAAAACAGGCTCTACACGATTTTGACTGTGAAGCCTCATCTTTTCTCTTTTCTCACCTGCACACTCACTATCACCTGCACACTCACTATCACCTGCACACTCACTATCACCTGCACACTCACTATCACCTGCACACTCACTCTCACCTGCACACTCACTATCACCTGCACGCTCACTATCACCTGCACGCTCACTATCACCTGCACGCTCACTATCACCTGCATCTGAGTAGTTCTTTCTTTTCTCTTTTTCGCGATGGCATCAGATCTTCATGTCCCTGCCTGCCCATTCCTTCCCCCCCACCCCTCCTTTCCGCACTTTTGCTGCCCCTCACTGCAGGTGATAGTGAGCGTGCGGAATATCTCAGACGTGATGGCATCAGCCATCAGAGCGCACTATGACAAGGATGACACCGGCTTGCAGGTCCCTCCCTCCTCCCACCCTCCTCCCACCCTCCTCCCACCCTCCTCCCACCCTCCTCCCACCCTCCTCCCTCCCTCCTCCCTCCCTCCTCCCCCACTCGTCACTTCCTCACGTACTCCCTCTATCGATGCCTGACTGAGATTTTCACTATAGAGTGCTGCTCCAACCAAGCATCCTGGACCGCCTCAACTCTCACTCCCTCCTAGTCCATACTTGACTGCAGCTCTCCACAGTCGTCGTTCATTCTTCAGCAGTCTCTTGCTCCCTTCCTTTCCTCTCTCTCCCCACAAAATATCTCAGCCTCTCTGAACCACCATGCACCCACCACTACATCACATCTTTTTGCTACCATCTTCCTCTCCTTGTCCCCTCTCTCCTCCCTTTCTCTCCCACTATGTACCTGACATCTGCATTACCGTGGATACCTGGATACCACTTATGTCCCGCCCTTGCTCCCCCAGGTGCGGCTTGTGGAGGACAGTCTGGTGTATCTCGATGCTTCGTTACGCCAGCTACCGTGCGGGACGTACGCCATCGTCAACCTCGATCACCTCATGTCGTCCCCATCTGTCAGTCCCTTTTTCCTTCTCCTTCTCCCCTCTCGAATGGTCCGCTGCATTGATCATCAACATAATATACTCAGCTAGCCTAGCTGGTATCGGGACCCTTTGGTAGCTCGGAGCTGCGCTCGAGCACATGCAGCAGGTCCCCTAGCAGAAGGGGCTCCGTCAGGGCGACTGTCGGCTCGTGTATCTGTGTGAGCTAGGCTAGGCTGTAGGCTAGCTGTAGCTCGGCAGCCACAGCCTGGTGTATCTTGTTGTTGTGCAGGGCCACAGACTGCCCGCGTTGTAGAGCCACCGTCCACCTCTGGCGCTATTAATGGTCCAGCTTAGTGCCGCCTCCCTCAGACTCTGGTCGGCGCCGCATTGTGGTGGCGCCTATCGTGTCATGCATGGGCTGCATGCTTCTCTTGGCCCAGCCACCTCACTTATCCTCCTTTCTGGCAGGGTTTGAAGGGATTCTTGGTGTTTTGACATGTTACAAACGTCCAGGTTGACAGATCTGAAACATCGGTTTTGGCACGTCTCAGGTGGTCTGTTGTGGCCAGCCACCTCACTCTCATCCTCCTGTTGAGAAAGCACATGAGTAACAGCTCCTCCATCTATTTCTTCCCCCCCTCCCCTCTCTTGCAACCCCCCAGCCCCCCTTCGTCTCACAGCTAGCTCGCTTCCTCGACCTACCAGGGGTGCATGAGGACCAGCTCCTCACCGCTCTGCACCGCACTCGCACGGTCTGGGCCCGCCCCCGACTGCAGACAACACCTAGATTCAACGGGGAACCTGTCGCAGCCTTTTTTCGCCGTAGGCGACACCTCTGGCCATTGCTAGCAGGCACCCAGGAGAACTTTTTCTTTGCAGGGAACCCTGCGGATTGGCCTTCTGGTGTTCTGTCTCGCCGTGACCCTTGGACATAACTATTACAGTACTTCATATTCTAAGACGTTCCGGAGTGTATTATTGCAACTGGGCCACAAAGGCCTGCCTGTATTGTTTATGTCTACTCCACTACATTGTATGCTGCTATTGGGTGCCGCGCTACCACGCACCGTACTTCTGTGTACTGTACTACTATGTACCGTTTGTACTTCAGAAGGGAGATATGTCGTTGGTAACAAACAATGGCCTCTAAAATTTGTGGTAAGAAAAAACAAATTAAAACAGAACAAAACAAACAAACAAACAAACAAACAAACGAAGAATGTGTACGTTCATTGGATAGGGTGTTTTCATGTGTTCTGCCCAAATCATGGCAAATAAACTTGGCTTCTTCATAGGATGGGGCTGGAGTCCGTCTCCAGAAAGGCGTGAATGTCAAACTGTAAGTTTGAGTTCTCTCTAGGCCATAGTGGGTTAGCCTACAAGGGGTACAACACTTTAGTGTTAGCACTTGTACCCAACTCATTCATAGTTCATCCATTCCTGCACAGTTGATTCTGACATGGTAGTCAGAGCAGGAAACCTGTTAGGTTTTTATGGCCCACCGATCGTTCCGCTAGTTCCTGCCCGAAGCGCACTTGCGCTGTCCGGCCCTCTCGCACAGTATCCCGGTGCCCTGCAGCTACTCGAACTGCCTACCGTAGCGCGCTGCCTTGCTATCACGCGCGCCACTGCTGCCCGCGAGCAGCCCCTGCCTCGAGCGCCCCTGCTGCCCGCGAGCAGCCCCTGCCCTGCGCGTCCCTTCTGCCCGCGAGCAGCCCCTGCCCTGCGCGCCCCTTCTGCCCGCGAGCAGCCCCGCAGTCCAGCGCGCCCCGCAGCCCTAAATGCGCCAGCGCGCCCCGCAGCCCAGAGTGCCAGCGCGCCCCGCTGCTAAGCGTGCCAGTGCGCCTCGCAGCCCAGCGCGCCAGCGCGCCCCGCTGCTAAGCGTGCCAGCGCGCCCCGCAGCCCAGCGCGCCAGTGCGCCCCGCAACCCTAAATAATAATTATTATTATAAAATGTATTATATATATATATAAAGCGCGCCCTGCTGCCCAGCGCACTGCTGCTGCGCACGCTGCTACTGCTGCGCTGTGCCCTGCCGAGCAGCGCTGTGTCAAGATAGCAAGCAGGAATGAACAGCAGAAGAGGGATTGCACTAGCAGCAGATAGGAAACACATAGCAAACCTTAATTTGGGTTGTATTCACTATAGAGTACCCCACTGCAGACTATGTCAAATTATATGCCTATGTCATAATAGAATGTAGGCTTTAGTGGGGTAGCTAATGTAGGGTATAATTTTTTTGTTACTTGTACCCAACTTTCTCGATAGTGCAATCCACCTTTTCCCTTTACTCTCGACATGGTATTAAGAGCAACATAGGTCCCTAGGACCGTTTTAGGACTGTTTTTCAGGGCCCACCAACCGTTTTCCGCCGGTTACCGAGTTACCCCGCCCCTTGCCTACGCTGCCCTGCGTCGCGCAGCCCTCGCGCTCGCCTCTACTGGCCCTCGTACAGCCCGCTAGCAGCCCGCCTGCTGCCTCGTCAGCCCAGCGCGTAGCCTGCTAGCTGCCTTGTCAGACCCGCGCACCGGCCCGCAGCCCCCGCGCTGCCTTCTCCTGCCCCGCGCGTCGCTTCGCAGCCTTCGCGCTGCTTTCTACGGCCGCCGACGCGGCCCCGCCCTGCCGCTGTCGCGGCCCCACCCTGCCGCCGACGCGGCCCCGCCTGGCCTGCGTACTGCCCCCCGTCGCCAGTCGCGGCGCCTGTGGGACCCGCGCGCGGCCCTGCATCAGCTACGCCGCCCCTGGTGCAGCCGCCCCTGGACCCTCGAGCAGCCGCCCCTGGACCCAGAGCAGCCGCCCCTGGCCCCTGAAGCAGCCGCCCCTGGTGAAGCCGCCCCTGGTGCAGCCGCCCCTGGTGCAGCCGCCCCTGGCCCCTGAAGCAGCCGCCCCTGGTGCAGCCGCCCCTGGCCTTTGAAGCAGCCGCCCCTGAAGCAGCCACCCCTGGTGCAGCCGCCCCTGGACCCTCGAGCAGCCGCCCCTGGACCCAGAGCAGCCGCCCCTGGACCCAGAGCAGCCGCCCCTGGCCCCTTGCAGCAGCCGCCCCTGGAGCAGCCCCCCCTGGACCCCGAGCAGCCGCCCCTGGCCCCTGAATCAGCCGCCCCTGGTGCAGCCGCCCCTGGACCCAGAGCAGCCGCCCCTGGCCCCTGAAGCAGCCGCCCCTGGTGCAGCCGCCCCTGGACCTTCGAGCAGCCGCCCCTGGACCCAGAGCAGCCGCCCCTGGCCCCTGAAGCAGCCGCCCATGGTGCAGCCGCCCCTGGACCCAGAGCAGCCGCCCCTGACCCCTGAAGCAGACGCCCCTGGTGCAGCCGCCCCTGGACTCCGTGCAGCTCCCCCTGGATCCCGCGACGCCGCCCCTGGACCCGCGACGCCGCCCCTGGATCCCGTGCAGCCGCCCGCCGAACGCTGGCCCTGCTCGCCCGGCGAGCGCCTGCTCTTCCCGCCACTGGTGAGCACCTGCCTTGTTAGCGCGCTGCCGCGCCATCTGCCTGCCTGCCTGCCTGCCTGCCTGCCAGCCTGCCTGCCTGCCTGCCTGTCTGCCTGCCTGCCTGCCTGCCGCGCCTGCCCTGCTCGCGCTGCTACTGCTGCTACTTCTTTTACTACTGCTAGGCTACTGCTACTGCTACTGCTGCTACTGGCGGTGGCCAGATGCAGCTTCAGCGACGTCCGCGCGAGTCTCTCACGCCCCAACAGCTTCGTGAGTGGTACGCTAGTTGGGGTTGTGGCGGTAGCCGTCGTAGCTGTCGCCCTGGAGCTGGTCAGTTGGGAGCGTCTGGCAGTGGCCAGCTGCAGCTGCAGCGGCGTCCACGCGAGACACTTACGTCCCATCAGCTTCACGAGTGGTACGCTCAGAGTAGAGGGTCTTTGAGTACCGTTCGCTGCCCGTACGTCATTCGCACAGGTGATCGGACGGGTCAGACTTGCGGGACGCTTAGTCACACCCAGTCCCGCTGCTTCGCCCGTCTGAGCGACGCCTGGCGTACCGAGTTTGGCGACGAGGCTGAGCTCCCCGACTGGGTGGAGCTGCTTGGGCAGAGGGTAGATATCTATGTTCTTGACTATGATGCTATTCTCACTGCCATGTATGCATTGCCTACTAGTGCTGACCGTGCCTGTTACCTGTGCGTGCCGCCTGACCCAGGTATAGAGCCTGCTGCTCTCGGTGCTGGTGAGGCTGCTGCTCTAGGTGCTAGTGCGTCTCCTGCTCTGGGTGCTGGTGAGGCTGCTGCTCCAGGTGCTGGTGAGTCTGCTCTCTCTGGTACTGCGCCTGCTGCGGCCTTGTACACCTTCACACTTGACTCAGGTGCTTCCCGCTCCTTCTTTCGCGACAGCACCACCCTCACGCCGCTCAGCCGGCCGGTTCCAGTCTCCCTGGCAGACCCCTCTGGGGGTCCAGTCCTTGCGCACTCCTCCACGGTCCTGCCGTGTCCGGCGGTCCCGTCTGGCTCCCTGTCAGGTCTTCACCTCCCCTCGTTCTCTACGAACTTGGTGAGTGGTGCTGACCTCCAAGACCAGTGGGTTGACTAGTTCACTCCTGGAGGTCAGCGCGTGACCCACTGTACGTGCTCCCGGACGGGCCGGCACCTGGCCACGTTTACCCGTGCGCCTGGCTCGAGTTTGTACACACTGACTACTGTGTCCCCTCAGGTTGCTGCGTCTGCGTCTGCGTCAGGTCAGCTAGCGCCCCCCTACTCGTGTCGCGCTTTGTCGCACCAGACCCTCCTTTGGCACCACCGCCTTGGTCACCCCTCGGTGCAGCGCCTTCATAGCATGCACCGCCGTGTCCTTGTCTCTGGTCTTCCCAGGGTTCTCCCTCCCCTCCCACCCTCGCCTGCTCCTCCCTGTCTTCCCTGTGTCGAGGGGCGGCAGCGCGCCGCTCCTCACTCCTACTCGTTCCCTCCCACAGAGGCTCCGTTGCAGACTCTCCACCTGGACGTGTGGGGCCCAGCCCGCGTCCGTGGACAAGGCCACGAGCGGTACTTCCTGCTGGTCGTCGACGACTACACGCGTTACACCACGGTCTTCCCCTTGC